ATTTTCAAGGTTGCTGGTCCCTTATTTTCAAATCTGTAAGTTGACAGCCATGTCCTGAGCTTCAGAGGGAGGGAGGCAGGAAGAGAGAGAATTTTTTATTTTATTTTTTTATTCAAAATTAAGACAAAACATATTATCCAGAAACATATCATCCTTATTTTTTTCCCCGTTTTTCCTCCCTCCCCCCCACCCTCCCACACAAAACCCACCCCCCGGCTTCCCTCAGTTCCAGTCTTTGGTTTCTCTAAGAATGCTGCTTTCTGCATGTTGCAAAGTTGTATAGATCCTCAAACTATTTAGCTGATTATCATCAGTAAAAAGTTTCTGAATGTTTATTCAAAGCCAGCCAAGGAGTTCAGTTCGCTTTGTTCCGCCTTCAAATACCTTGTAAAGGGTTCCCATTCATCTTTAAAGTCACAGTTATCCTTGTCCCGTAGCTTATATGTCAGTTTTGCCAGTTCTGCAGAGTCCGTCAATTTTTCTTGCCATGATTCTTTAGTTGGGGTTTCTTCAGTCTTCCATCCTTCTGCTACCAGAACTCTCGCAGCCGTTGTCGCATACATGAAGATGTTTTTCAGCTTTTTTGGCAGATCTTTCCCTACAATCCCTAACAAAAATACTTCAGGTTTTTTAACAAATGTTAAATGGAACATTTTCTTCAATTCGTTGTATATCATCCCCCCCCCCCCAAAAATTAATTACATTACAATCCAACCACATATGATAAAATGTCTCCTCCTTTTCCTTACACTTCCAACATATATTTGAACTAGTAGTTTTGTACATTTCCCTTAACTGCACTGGTGTCGTGCACCATCTGTACATCATCTTCATGTAATTCTCCTTCAATAGGGAACAATCTGTAAATTTTAAATCAGTTTTCCATAATTTTTCCCAATCTTCCATCATAATGTTGTGACCTAAATTGAAGAGAGAGAGAATGTGAGTGAGCCTCACATTATCAGGCAGCCTCCGCTGTCATGGACTGGCTGGATGCGGGGGGGGGGGGGGCTGAGATGCAAAATGCACCCCATCACCCCAAAAATGAAAGAGTCTAGCATGCATATTGCTGCATTGCATCGGGTTGGACCAGACGATCTTCTGGGTCCTTTCCAGAGTTTTTAGGGGACTAACCAGGTTGGGATAGCTGGGATAGTAGGCTTGTTGGGTTTTGAATGTCTTATGTAGATTTTTCAATTTCGTTGTTCTGTATGGGACAATGACAATAAAGATTATCGTCTTGTATAACTCTGCAATTCGATAATTCTATGGCATGGGTAGGCAACCTAAGGCCCGGGGGCCGGATCTGGCCCAATCGTCTTCTCAATCCGGCCCGCAGACCATCTGGGAATCAGTGTGTTTTTACATGAGTAGAATGTGTCCTTTTATTTAAAATGCATCTCTGGGTTATGTGTGGGGCATAGGAATTCGTTCATTTTGCCCCAAAAAATATAGTCTGGCCCCCCACAAGGTCTGAGGGACAGTGCACCGACCCCCTGCTGAAAAAGTTTGCTGACCCCTGTTCTAGGGCATGCAGCCTGAACTTTGAATTTCACTGTTGCTTGATGTTTACTGGTGCCACTGGGTGGCGTCCCTTTCCCAGTTAGGAATCTCTGATGAAACTCTAACACAGTAGAAAACCAGTTGAGGTGAGGTGTGTTTTTTTAAGAACTGCAAGTGCTTCTTAGATTTGTCACAGAATCGTAGATTTGGAAGGGGTCTCGAGGGTCATCTAGTCCAACCCTCTTCAATTCCAAAGATTTAAACCTTTACTATTATGATTTTTATTAAATTTTCTGTTTTAAAATTTCAAATACTCATTTTACATCCTTAAAGTATCAATAACTTCCCTTCTTCTCTTTCCATGGTTCATTTTACATGTCTTAAATCCCTGCATATTTTACAAAAACTATACCAATCGGTTTTCCATTATTGCATCCATCAAAACTTATTTACACTGTTGAATTTATCTTAATGGAAAGAAGATAAAGTCCCTCCCAGAGATGAATGGCAGATTAAGTTGATGGATTATGCTGAAATGGCTAAAATGACTGGAAGAATCAGAAATCAGGAAGATCAAAATTTTAATAACCATTGTAAACAGCTAAAACCATTAGAAGGATTGGAATAACACTTGCAGTTTAATGGTGAATTTTGGACACAATGGAGAGGTAAAAGATTTGGATTATCATGAAAGATGAGGAAATATAGGACCCACAAAGGGGACGAAGGGAATCCAGGAGATTCTATGTTGTATATTCGATATGTGATTGTAAAACTTTAATCTGAAAAACCAATTTTTTTAAAAAAAGAATTTATCTTAATGTTGCCAGCGTTTTCAGCTGTATACCATTCTTTCCCATATATCCCATAAACGTTTTCCAATCTTCTTTAAACGTATGCTATTCTCGTTCTCTCGTTCTATATGTTAAGTTTGCAAGTTGTGCATATTCTGTCAACCTAAGTTGCTGTTCTTCTTTGGTTTGGGCCTCGCAAAGATTTAAACCTTGGTGGGGTCACATCTGTGTCCCGCCAGATGTTGCTGGCTAGGATGGCTGCTGTACAATGCAGGAGGGGGGTCTTCCAACATCTGACCCCCCAGGCACTGATCTAAGACCTCGCCAAACTCCACACTGAGAGGCTGTTTCATGTTTCATTATTCCTGTGGAATAATAATTATAATAATAATCTCTTCAGAAGTGAAAGAAATAAGTAGCTATCTTATCTTTAAAAGACATCTGAAGGCAGCCCTGTTTAGGGAAGTTTTTAATACTTAATGCTGTATTGTTTTTAACACTTGATTGGGAGCCGCCCAGAGTGGCTGGGGAAACTCTTTTTTTTTTTTTTAATAATATTTATTAAGATTTGAAAGGTTACAAAAAGGAAAAAGGAAAAATAGAAAACAGCATATTAAGCAAAAACAGAACATCACATCACAATACAGAAAAGAAGAAAAAAAGAGAAAGAAAATAAAAATAAAATAATAATAAAAAACAACAACAACAACAAAAAAAAAAATGCAATGAATCTTCCCATAACTTATCTTTCATTTACTTATTTCCTTGACCTCCTCACACCTCCCTTTTTTGTATTCTAGTTCAGTTAGCTCTTTCAGCAAATCCTTTCCATCTTTTCCAGTTTTTGTCCTATATTTTATCTTAATATAATGTAACTTTACTTTCCCTCCTTTCACCATTTAAGAATCTGTTTTTTCTTAATCCTCTATAGCATTTCTGCTAAAACCACATTACTTCATTCCAACATCCATCTAAGATTCCTTAATTTTACAATGTTTCTGTAAATAAGCTTTAAATTTCTTCCAATCTTCTTCCACCGACTCTTCTTCCTGGTCTCGGATTCTGCCAGTCATTTCCGCCAGTTCCATATAGTCCATCACCTTCATCTGCCATTCTTCCCGGGTGGGTAGATCTAGTGTCTTCCAATACTTCGCGATGAGTATTCTTGCTGCTGTTGTAGCATACATAAAGAAAGTTCTATCCTTTTTTGGCACCAATTGGCCAACCATGCCCAGGAGAAAGGCCTCTGGTTTCCAGAGTGGCTGGGGAAACTCAGCCAGATGGGCGGGGTATAAATAATAAATTATTATTATTAAATGATTATTTCAAAGCCGGGAATGGCAATGACCTGGCAATGGCAGCACTGGCCTGAGCACATGCAGAGTGCCTTCTGCCAAACCCCTGTGAACCCTCCTTCACTCTTCCCATCTCTTCCCATAATCCTTTGCCCCAGCTGCAGGCAGGTGCCAAAGCAGCAGCAGCAGCAGCTGCAGCAGCAAAGGATTCTGGGAATAACCTGTTTGCCCAACGGTCAGTGAGGTGGGGTTCGTTGGATGGTTCCTTCCCCCACCTCCCCTCTTCCGTTTCCAAATATTGGAAGCTGTCCTAGGTGGCCCACAAAGCTCCTGATTCGGCTTTACAGTGGTGCCTCGCAAGACGAAATTACTGTAATCCATTTGGCGAGTCTCTTCGTCTTGCGGTTTTTTCGTCTTGCGAAGCACGGCTATTAGCGGCTTAGCGGCTATTAACGGCTTAGCGGCTATTAACGGCTTAGCGGCTTAGCGGCTTTAAGAAAAAGGAAACAAACTCTCAAGAACTCGCAAGACGTTTCGTCTTGCGAAGCAAGCCCATAGGGAAATTCGTCTTGCGGAACGACTCAAAAAACGGAAAACTCTTTCGTCTTGCGCATTTTTCGTCTTGCGAGGCATTCGTCTTGCGGGGCACCACTGTATAGCCGGGATAACAACAACAACAACAATGTTTTTTAAAAAATTATTTATATCCCGCCCTCCCCAGCCCATGCTCAGAGCAGCTAACAACAATAAAAGTAACACAGCATTCTAAAATCAATTCATTCTAAAATCAATTCAAAATCAAATTAATGGCAACCATTGGGCTAGAGTTCTGTGAGGATTACCGAAGGAGAGGGTCAGACTGTGCCTTGGCCAAAGGCCTGGTGGAACAGCTCTGTCTTGCAGGCCCTGCGGAAAGATGTCAAGTCCCGCAGGGCCCTAGTCTCTTGTGACAGAGCGTTCCACCAGATCGGGGCCACAGCCGAAAAAGCCCTGACTCTGGTTGAGGCCAGCCTAACCTCTCTATGGCCCGGGACCGCCAAGATGTTTTTGTTTGAAGACCGTAAGGTCCTCCGTGGGACATACCAGGAGAGGCAGTCCTGTAGGTTCCGGGATGAGAAGAATGGGGGTGGGGGGTCAATGTCTCAGTGAAGGGGAAAGGTGATTGGCTGATTGGGACGATTGAATTGCAAGGGGTTGGGCTGGATGACCCTTGGGATCCTTTCAACTATGACTGTCGCAATTCTATGATTACGCTCCCCACATCCTTCCTCCTTGAGCTGCTTTTAGGAGGCAGGAAGCTTCAAAGGCTTTAAACCCTGGAGAGCGGCTGCCAGCCAGTGTAGACAATATTGAGGCAGATGAAGCCAATGTCTTGGTAGAAGGCACCTTCCTGTGTTTTAAGGGAAGGGCCCTCGCTCAGTGGAAGAGCCCCTGCTTGGCAATGCAGAAGGTCCCGGGTTCAATCCCTGCCGGCAGCATCTCCAGGTAGGGCTCTGTGATGGGATGATGAGCTGCTTGTGCGTAAAATCGTATCCCCTCAGAGTTTGTTCAAGTCCACAAACCTCTGTCTGTGACAGAGCCCCTCAGACATGGCTACTCTAGTCACTAGCAGATTCCGACAGTGGTTGCTTTCGTAATCGCTTCCAACATAAAAGCTCCTTAACGGAAACACGTCTTCTGGAATCTCTGCGTGACAGTTTCCGGCGAGGAGTGGGTGTTCTTACAGGAGGTCCTGAAACCTCTCCACTGTTTTCGCTGGAAGTGTCTCTGAGCCATCCCTCCAGCTCAGCTCCTCTCCCCCTGCTGGTTCCCTCATCAGCTGCTGCGTCTCTCCCAACCTGTGTGAGCCCTTTCACCTCCCTGTTGGTTTCCTCTTCAGCTGCTGCGTCTCTCCCAACCTGTGTGAGGCCTTCACCTCCCTTCCGTCCGATGGCAGTTCCCTGACATCCACCTCCCCTCCAGGGCCCCCTTCACCCCCTCTCGCCCCCTCCTCTACGGGCGGTGCGGAGGCCAAACCCCGGAATGAACTTCCTTCATCTTCCGATGTCTCGAACACTTCTCTCAACCTGTTGCGGTTCCTGGTCTCGAAGTACACCTCCTCCTCAGAGTCCATCTCCCCTTCCCCTTCCGAGTCCAGGAATCCTTCCAACTCCTCCCCTTCATCAGTGGTCCCAAAGTATTCCCTCCGGAACCTCTCCACAGGCTGAGGTTTCCTTGGGAACCTTTGATGGAACGTTTCTATCAATACCTCGTCATTGATATCTTCAGCCATTACCCAAGTGTTTTCTGACTCCGGTTCTCCTTCCCACGCTACCAAATACTCCACCTGATCCCCCTTCCACCTGGCGTCGAGGATTTCTGCCACATGGCTGCTGCATTCTCTTTCTTCTACGACCCGGTCCCGAGTGGCCAGCCCTTCTCGTCCCCCTTCGTACGGTGACAGTAACGACCTGTGAAATACTGGGTGCAGTTTCATGTGGTTGGGTAACCGGAGCCTGAAAGCCACTGGGTTGACCTGTTGAATGACCTCAAAGGGACCCAACCTCCTGGGTCTTAATTTCTTACAACCTCCTTTGAGCAGCAGCCCTTGGGTTGACAGCCACACCCTATCTCCCACCCTTATGGTTTCACCTTCCCTTCGGTTCTTGTCTGCCTGCCTCTTGTATTCTTCCTTCGCCCTTTCTAAGTTGAGTTGGAGCTGACGATGGATTGCTTCCATTTCTTCCACAAAATGCTCGGCTGCCGGGACGCTCCATCTCTCCCCCTCTCCCCCTGGGAAAGCCCTGGGATGACACCCATAATTAGCCAAGAGGGGCTCATCCCTGTGGACACATTCTCGGCATTGTTGTAGGCAAATTCCGCCAGCGCCAACTTTTCTACCCAGTCATTCTCTCTGTCATTGACATAACACCTCAGGTATTGCTGGAGGACACCGTTTGCTCTTTCCGCCTGCCCGTTGGTTTCAGGGTGCCGGGCAGTCGAAAAATTGACCTCCACCTGCAGTAAGCTCATGAGCTTCCTCCAGAACCTGGAAGTAAATTGTTTTCCTCGGTCTGAGACCACCCTCAATGGCACCCCGTGCAACCTAAAAATGTTTTCTACACATAACGTCGCTGGCTCTTCCGCCGTGACGGCATGCGAGCACGCTACAACGTGGCACATCTTTGTTAGGAGGTCCACCACCACCAGGATGGCTGGTTTCCCTTTGGACTTGGCAGATCAGTCATAAAATCTATCGACACTGCCTCCCAAGGTCGTTCTGGGGTTGGTAAGGGTTCTAATAGCCCCGCCGGCGCCCGCCTTTCCCCTTTGGCTCGCTGGCATTGCTCGCACCCTCTTACATACTCACGTACATCTTCCCTCACCTTAGGCCACCAAAATTCCCTGGTGACCAACCACATGGTTTTGTGTTGTCCAAAATGCCCCGCCGTAGGGCTGTCGTGCAACTGCTTGAGTACCCTCCCCTTTAACTCTCCTTCAGGGATATACAGTGCCCCTTTGTAATACAAAGCTCCATTTCTTTCCTCGAAACCCCCTGGTTCCTCTCCATCACCCCTAAGACCTCTGAGCTTATTCTGGGCGTATTCATCATTCTCTGTTTCCTCTACCAGTTCTCTTTGTCCCACCAATGCCCCCCACACACCCAGCGGTCCTCTGGAATGACATGTCTCTCTTGGGTGCCCCTCCCCTCCAAATATTCAGGTTTGCGTGAGAGGCGTCCGCCCTAATGTTCTCTGGGCCTGGCACGTAACTAATCTCAAAGTTAAATTTGGAGAACTCCTGGGCCCATCTCACTTGCCGTTGGTTGAGCACTCGTGCCGTCCTCCAATACTCTAGGTTCTTGTGGTCAGTGCACACTTGCACCTTATGTTGTGCGCCAATTAGCAGGTGCCTCCATCTCCGGAACGCCTCATGAATGGCTAGTAGTTCTCGGTCATACACCGTGTAGTTCCTCTCGGATTTGTTCAGCTTTCGCGAAAAAAGGCACACGGTCTCCACTCTGACCCCTTCTTGCCTGGCTGCAGAAGCACCGCCCCAATCGCTCTGTCTGATGCGTCAGTTTCCACTCTCATCGGTTTGTAAATCCACATGCAGGAGTTGTTGTTCCGAGGCGAAGGCCCTTTTTAGTTCCTCAAATGCTCGCTCCGCCTCCTCAGTCCACACGAACTTCTTCTTACTGCTGAGACAGTCCGTAGTGGGCGCCGTCAGGTGGGCAAAGTTTCGGATGAACTTACGATAGAAGTTCCCAAATCCTAGGAACCTCTGCACATCCTTCTTTGTTTTGGGTGTTTTCCATTCCAGCACCGCCTGGACCTTGCCGGGATCCATGGCCAATCCCTTGTCTGACAGGCGATACCCCAGGAATTCCACCTCCTTGGTATGAAACTGACACTTCTCCAGTTTCACCCACAGCTGGTTGGCTTGCAGCCTGCTCAACACTTCTCTGACGTCTCTCACATGCTGCTCCTCATTCTCAGAATACACCAACACGTCGTCTAAAAGGCCACACAATTCTTGTAAAGCAAAGGCCCCAGGACGTGGTTCATAAACGATTGAAATGTTGCGGAGCCTGCTTGTAGGCCGAAGGGCATAACCAAATATTCAAATGCCCCTAAAGGGGTGAACATAGTGGTTTTCCATTCATCCCCCTTCCTTATTCGTACCAGGTTGTACGCCCCCCTTAGGTCCAGCTTTGTGAAAATCTTTCCCTTCCGCACCCTTGTCAAAATGTCGTCAATCCTGGGCATAGGGAAGGCTACTGGTTCTGACACTGCATTTAAGGCCCTGAAGTCACACACCAGCCTCGGCTTGTTCGTGTTTTCTTATCCACAAAAACACTGGGCTGCCCCCACCGCCCTGGACTCTCTGATGAACCCTCTCTTCAGGTTCTTGTCAATGAACTCTCTTAACTCCTGCATCTCTCTGTCTGACATGGCGTACAGCTTGCCTACAGGGAGCTGTGCTCCAGGGGTAAGTTGATTTGACAGTCAAAGGGTCTATGCGGGGGTAGTTGGTCAGCTTCCCTTTCGCTGAAGACGTCACGGAGATCTGCATATTGTCGTGGTACCTTCACGTTCTCTGTTACTTCAGTCCCTGCTAGGGTGGCTTGGACCCCTGCCAAACCCTTTCCCTCTTTGCAGTGTTCTAAGCAATGTGCTGAACCAAAAGAAACCACTCTCTGATGCCAGCCCACCAGCGGATCATGTAACGCTAGCCAGCTCATCCCCAATATAATGGGAGCTCCTCCCAAGGTGGCCACATTAAAAGCTATCAGTTCGGTGTGCCTTGCTACCTTCATTATCATTGGGACGGTCTGCAAGCTGACTTCTCCACCCAACAGCTCCCTGCCATCGATCGTGGTCACCTGCAGGGGCTGCTTAAAGGATTGTCTGTATCTGGTGTTCAGCTGCAAACTCTTTGCTCATGAAATTGCAGGAGCTGCCTGAGTCCAACAGCGCCTTTATCTTTAGAGGGTGTCCGTTTGGCAGCTCTAGCGTCACTTCTATCACTAGGGCGGGTTTAGGAGGTTCTGGCGTGGGCACTCTCACTGCTCTTTGGCCTGGCTGCTGTGCCCTGACAGTGGCAGCCAGGCGTTGGCTTTTACTTGCTCCGGTATATTTTCCTCTCTTCCATCCACAGCCCCTACCATCCCTTGCCATTCTTTCCTCTGGGGGCAGACTCTGGCAAAGTGACCTGGCTGTTGGCAGAGATAGCATTTCCAGGCGCCTTTTCCCTCCTTCTTTGCCCCCTCACTGGGCTTTGAAACTGCGCGCGCGCCGCTGTTCCGATTTCCATCGGCTCTGCCGGTGGGAAAGTTGGCTCTGGAATGTCTGGAATGCGGAACTCCTTCCAACGTTCCCCTTTCCCTTCCCGCCTCTCCAATGCTCTCGCCTCCTGGCGCGCTCCTATGGCCAGCGCTGATTTGGTCAGCTGGTCCATAGACTCCGCCCTGGGCGCCCGGGAAAGTTCGTCTTTCACAGCCGAAGAAGCCCTTCTTCAAAGAGCATTTGAATGGGTTCCGCCGATAAGTCCCACCCCAATCTGTGAACAAGCATGGTGAACTCAGTCCAGTACTCACGGACAGATCGGCTCCCCTGTTTGCAACCCATTAACTGTCTGCGCACCACTCCCTTTTCAATATCGCTGGAAAACATCAGATCCATGGCGCGAAAGAACTTCATCGTGTCTTTTAAGACGTCACTATTCGCTGCCATCAGGGTCTAACCCAGTCTCTCGCCCCCTTTTCAAGATGCTCAATCACGAAAGCCACTCGTGATTCCTCGTCAGGAATTCATCAAACTGCAGATTGAGGGCATATTGCATTTCTGTCCGAAAGCCATGATGGTTTTGGGCTCCCCCAAACTTCTGCACCAATCCTGGTACCTTTCTGGCGAACTGGGTGGCTTTCCCCTTTTGTCTGCATCCTGAGCCCTCCTCTCCTCAAGCCTCGCCGTCTGCATCGCTAGCTGGACCTCCAACATCTGGTACCTTTCTTCCAGGCTTGGACCCGCTCCAGCTCCTGCTTCTCCGGTTCCGGCTGGGTTGCTCATGATACCTTCTCCTGCACAAGCTGCTTTCAAAGACTGTCGGAATGCTGTGATGGGATGATGAGCTGCTTGTGCGTAAAATCGTATCCCCTCAGAGTTTGTTCAAGTCCACAAACCTCTGTCTGTGACAGAGCCCCTCAGACATGGCTACTCTAGTCACTAGCAGATTCCGACAGTGGTTGCTTTCGTGTCGCTTCCAACATAAAAGCTCCTTAACGGAGCACGTCTTCTGGAATCTCTGCGTGACAGTTTCCGGCGAGGGTGGGTGTTCTTACAGGAGGTCCTGAATCCTCTCCACTGTTTTCGCTGGAAGTGTCTCTGAGCCATCCCTCCAGCTCAGCTCCTCTCCCCCTGCTGGTTCCCTCATTCAGCTGCTGCGTCTCTCCCAACCTGTGTGAGCCCTTTCACCTCCCTGTTGGTTTCCTCTTCAGCTGCTGCGTCTCTCCCAACCTGTGTGAGCCCTTTCACCTCCCTTCCGTCCGATGGCAGTTCCCTGACAGGCTCCCTACCTGAGACTCTGCAGAGCCGCTGCTGCCAGTCAGTGCAGGCAGTACTGGGCTGGATGGGCCCAATGGTTTGACTGGATAGAAGGCAGCTTCCTAGGTTTCTATTCAAATCAGCCCTTTATTCAGAACCATGAGGACCGGAATCTTATTTTATTTTTAGAGGACGGAAGCTCATGTGCCTTCTAGAAGGTTCCGGGTTCAATCTCTGGGATAGAGGAACCAATAGTCTAGCTGAGTGAAAGGGTTGCCTCCACATTCAGATCTTCTCCGGAGGGCCTGGACGTTTTCCATCTCTGCTGAACTCGAACCCACGACCCTTGGGCTCCTGGACTCTGTCCCCTCTTCTGACAGGACTTTCTCTCTTTCCCCAGCAAACACAGTGATGGGCCAGCCAGCTTCTCCTTCAGCGGCCCCTTAGAACTGCCTTCTCTTGGCGCCAACCTCCCTCACGCTGCTCTCCGCCACCCCAAGGTAAGAGTCCCCATCACTTTTCATTTTCGGGGGGAATCGTAGAGTTGGGAGGGACCCCTGAGGTTCATCTAGTCCAACCCCATGTAATGCAGGAATCTCTTTGCCCAATGTGGTGCTTGAACCCGCAACCCAGAGATTAAGAGTCTTGTGCTCTGCCAACGGAGCCAACGGCCTCGGTCTAGTATACCTGAAGGAGCGTCTCCACCTCCATCATTCTGCCCAGACACTGAGGTCCAGCGCCGAGGGCCTTCTGGTGGTTCCCTCCCTGCAAGAAGCCAAGTTACAGGGAACCAGGCAGAGGGCCTTCTCGGTAGTGGCACCCGCCCTGTGGAAGGCCCTCCCACCAGATGCCAAAGAGAAAAACAACTGCCAAACTTTTAGAAGACATCTGAAGGCAGCCCTCTTTAGGGAAGCTTTTGATGTTTAATAGGTTATTGTATTTTAGTGTTCTGTTAGAAGCCGCCCAGAGTGGCTGGGGAAACGCAGCCAGATGGGCAGGGTATAAGTAAATTATTATTATTATTATTATTATTATTATTATTATTATTATTTCACCGGTTCAGCGAAAGTATCCAAGAGTAGCCTCTCGCAGCCCCTTCGCTGCCCATCTGCGACACAACATCCCTGCAGGGCTGCCAGTGGGTCTTGTTCTCTGCCACCAACCTGCCGCTTAGGCAACGAACTGCAAGGAGCAGATCGGCTTTATTTTAAGCCTCTGCCCTGCCCTGCCCTCAAACTGTGGGGCAGGAAGATGGCTGGTTCTGCAGTGGTTCCCAGTGGGTCATCTAGCCCAACCCCCTGCTGCTTCACTTGCCAATCAGCACAGAAGGCCCCAGGTGCCATTCCCTGGCAAAATCTCCAGTCTTTCTGCTGCCAGTCCGTGTAGGCAATACAGAGCTAGGTGGTCTGACTCTGTATCAGCCCCCTAAGTATGATGATCAGCCCTTGACTCAAATCCATGAGGACTAGAATCTTGCATTATTTTGTGGGCGGAAGACCTGGAGTGCTGTAGGTGGGCACCGAGCGGCTTCTGGTTACGAAGCAACCCAAAGCAAGCTCCCTTTTCCACAAAGGTGAGTAATGTCAAGGGAGACCAAACCTGTGTGTCTCACCCAGCAAGGCAACCTGGAAAAGGAGCCTGCCAACTCCATCTGCCTCTGGTTGCATCATAATAATAATAATAATAATAATAATAATAATAATAAAAAATAATGATTTTATTTATATCCCACCCTCCCCAGCCAAAGCCGGGCTCAGAGTGGCTAACAACAGTAAAATAATACCGCATTCTAATGATGATGATGATGATAATAATAAGAATAATAATTTATTTATACCCCACCCATCTGGTTGAGTTTCCCCAGCCACTCTGGGCGGCTCCCAATCAAGTGTTAAAAACAGTACAGCATTAAATATTAAAAACTTCCCTAAACAGGGCTGCCTTCAGATGTCAGTTAAAGATAGGATAGCTGCTTATTTCCTTCACATCTGAAGGGAGGGTGTTCCACAGGGTGGGCGCCACTACCGAGAAGGCCCTCTGTCTGGTTCCCTGTAACCTCACTTCTCGCAATGAGGGAACCACCAGAAGGCGCTCGGCGCTGGATCTCAGGGTCCGGGCTGAACGATGGGGGTGGAGACGCCGGGCCTTTGAGGCAGTTTAGGGCTTTAAAGGTCAGCACCAACACTGAATTGTGCTCGGAAACGTACTGGGAGCCAATGCAGATATCTCAGGACCAGTGTTATGTGGTCCCAGCGGCCACTCCCAGTCACCAGTCTAGCTGCCACATTCTGGATTAAATGCAGTTTCCGGGTCACCTTCAAAGGTAGCCCCACATGGAGCGCATTGCAGTAGTCCAAGCGGGAGATAATTAGAGCATGCAACACTCTGGTGAGACAGTCTGCGGGCAGGTAGGGTCTCAGCCTGCATACCAGGTGGAGCTGGTAGACAGCTGCTCTGGACACAGAATTAACCTGTGCCTCCATGGACAGCTGAGAGTCCAAAATGACTCCCAGGCTGCGCACCTGGTCCTTCAGGGGCACAGTTACCCCATTCAGGACTAGGGAATCCCCCACACCCGCCCGCCCCCTGTCCCCCAAAAACAGTACTTCTGTCTTGTCAGGATTGAACCTCAATCAGTTCATTATAAAATCAGTTCAAATCAAATTAATGGCAACCATTGGGCTAGAGTTCTGTGAGGATTACCAAGGGAGGGGGTCAGGCTGTGCCTTGGCCAAAGGCCTGGTGGAACAGCTCTGTCTTGCAGGCCCTGCGGAAAGATGTCAAGTCCCGCAGGGCCCTAGTCTCTTGTGACAGAGTGTTCCACCAGATCGGAGCCACAGCCGAAAAAGCCCTGGCTCTGGTTGAGGCCAGCCTAACCTCCCTGTGGCCCAGACCTGCAGTTCTGCCCTCTTCCTTCCTTCCTTTCTGCCTGCCACCTCCAGCTCACCCCCCATCTCCCCTCTCCCAAGTTGGGGGTCTTGTTACCAGGCAGGTGGGGGAAGGGGCTCGCTGCTTCCTGAGGCTTGCAATGCTTTGAATCGTCCTCCATGCTCAACTCCCCCCCCCGCCCCGTGTGTGTGATGCATAGCTCCAGCTTGTGGGTGGTCCCCATGGCAACAGAGGCGCCCCCACAGGTCTCTGGGGTGAGGAGAGCCCGAATCATTAGGGCTCCAGAGGAGGAGAAGGAGGCTGTGCCGTTGGCCCAGCGAGGGGCCACTTTGGCATTCGGGACAGGATTCCTGCTTGCCCTCGGCCGCCTTGCTGCCTGGCAGCGATGGGCACCGTGCCTCCTCCGTTGTTCGAGGCAGATGAGCTGGTGGGCATCCCGTGAAACTGTTTGGGATTGAGAAAGAAAGGGGTTTCTGCGCACAGCACAGACTTGAACTGTGGATGGCTGCCAAACCCAGTAAAGGTAAAGGTAAAGGGACCCCTGTCCATTAGGTCCAGTTGTGGACGACTCTGGGGTTGTGGCGCTCATGTCGCTCTATAGGCCGAGGGAGCCAGCGTTTGTCCACAGACAGCTTCCGGGTCATGTGGCCAGCATGACTAAGCCGTTTCTGGCGAACCAGAGCAGAGCACGGAAACACCGTTTACCTTCCCGCCGGAGCGGTACCTATTTATCTACTTGCACTTTGACGTGCTTTCGAACTGCTAGGTTGGCAGGAGCAGGGACCGAGCAATGGGAGCTCACCCCGTCGCAGGGATTCGAACCGTCGACCTTCTGATCGGCAAGCCCTAGTCTCTGTGGTTTAGACCACAGCGCCACCCGCGTCCCAGAGAATTGCCCAAACCCATGTAAGGCTATCAGTAGCTACTGGGAGGTACTGATGCTTCTGCAGAACACTCGCTGGGAGCTGCAGAAGGAATGACTGTTGCTGTTGCCCTGAAGGTCCTGCTTGCGGGTTTGGGCAATTCGCAGGGTTTGACCCCTGTGAAAACATGAAGCTGGACCAGATGGGCCGTTGGCCTGATCCAGTAGGTTCCTCTGATGTTCTTAGCATCTTTTCTTCCGTGCGCTTGGCATTTATCCTGCAAGGGTGGTGGGGAGTGCAGAGCAGGAAATTCATAGAATCATAGAGTTGGAAGGGACCCCGAGGGTCATCTAGTCCAACCCCCTGCAATGCAGGAATCTCAACTAAAGCAGCCATGGCAGATGGCCATCCGACCTCTGCTTAAAAATCTCCAAGGAAGGATAGTCCATTACCTCCCGAGGGAGACTGTTCCACTGTCGAACGGCTCTGACTGTCAGAAAGTTCCTCCTGATGCTTTGTCGGGATCTCCTTTCTTGTAACTTGAAGCCATGGGTTCGAGTCCTACCCTCCAGAGCAGGAGAAAACAAGCTTGTTCCATCTTCCATTTGACAACCCTTCAGATATTTGAAGGTGGCTATCATATCTCCTCTCAGCCTCCTCTTTTCCAGGCTAAACATACCTTACTCCTTCAACCGTTCCTCATAAGGCTTGGCTTCTAGACCCTTAATTACGCTAGTTGCCCTCCTCTGCACATGTTCCAGCTTGTCAACATCCTTCTTAAATTGTGGCACCCTGAACTGCACACAGTATTCTAGGTGTGATCTGACAAAGGCAGAAAAGAGTGGTACTATTACTTCCCTTGATCTGGACACTAGACTTTTGTTGATGCAACCTAGAATAGCATTCACCTTTTTTGCTGCTGCATCACACTGTTGCCTCATGTCAAGCTTGTGGTCCACTAAAACCCCTAAATCTTTTTCACGTGTACTACTAGTAAGTGTCCCCCATCTTACATTTGTGTGTCTGGTTCTTCTTGCTGAAAAGCAGAACCTTAAATTTGGCCCTATTGAAATTCATTTTGAAATTCATTTTGAATAATCCCAATTCTGTCTTCAGATGCATTGGCTACCCCTCCCCGTTTGGTGTCATCTGAAAATTTGATGAGCATCCCCTCAATTTCTTCATCCAAGTCATTTCTAAAGACGTTGAACAACAACAGGCCCAGGACACAAGCCTGCTAACTTTTTCCCCAGGATGACGAGGAACCATTAATGAGTACTCTTTGTGTTTGGTCAGTCAACCAGCTACAAACCCACCTAATAGTTATCTCACCCGGTCCATATTTTACCAGCTTCTCTGCAATAATACCATGGGGGACTTTGTCAAACACCTTACTGAAATCAAGATACACTATGTCCACTGCATTCCTCTGAACCACCAAGCTTGTAACTCCATCAAAAAAAGAACACTGTCCAGCCATCTCGTCCTCTGCCGTCCCCTTCTCCTTGTGCCCTCCATCTTTCCCAACATCAGGGTCTTTTCCAGGGAGTCTTCTCTTCTCATGATGTGGCCAAAGTATTGGAGCCTCAGCTTCAGGATCTGTCCTTCCAGTGAGCACTCAGGGCTGATTTCCTTCAGAATGGATGCATTTGATCTTCTTGCAGTCCATGGGACTCTCAAGAGTCTCCTCCAGCACCATAATTCAAAAGCATCAATTCTTCGGCGATCAGCCTTCTTTATGGTCCAGCTCTCACTTCCATACATCACTACTGGGAAAACCATAGCTTTAACTATGCGGACCTTTGTTGGCAAGGTGATGTCTCTGCTTTTTAAGATGCTGTCTAGGTTTGTCATTGCTTTCCTCCCAAGAAGCAGGTGTCTTTTAATTTTGTGACTGCTGTGATACCTCACCATTTTTCT